TGGAGGCCAGGGCTTCCCTCCGGAGAGCCTTCATGGCCAATCCACAGGAGGACCTGGGGAAGAGACCATGGAGCCCATGCTGGGCTCGCTCTGGGAGTGGGGAGGGAAGGGGGCTTTGGGGCTCTGGAGATGTGTGGTTTTCCTGAGAGCAGGAAAAAGACAGTCCAGAGTGCTTCCTCTTTCTTTCCACTTGCAGGCCCCTGCCTGGACCCCTTTGGAACTGCCCTGTGACTCCTCTCCTGATCACTTGTCCACAGCCTGCTCTGTTCTGGAGAGTTCCAAGCGCATCTGTCCTTCTCATTCATTCGCTTGGAGCTGGGTCCAAGCTGCCTGGGATAGCTTTTACATTGTTCTTCCGCTTTTGTTACTATTTAATTGTTTTCCAAGGCATCTTCGGCTGGGTTCTCAAGAAAAGCAAAGCCAGTGAAACTTAACACCAGGGATCTGCAGAAGTTCACAGAAAAACATAAAAGTTCCAGGTCTGTGGGTCAGATGGCAGGTTGGAAGTTTCTCCTGACTCATGTAGATTCAAGGGCTGATGAACCCTCTTGGTTCCCTCACATCAACAGGTCCAATGACAGGCTGCCGACTGTGGAGGCAAATTAATCCAAAGTTGGCAAGCAACATGGCAGCCTGCTGGTTCAAGTCCAAAGATTGGAAATCAATCATGACAAGCTGGATGAAGAATCTAGATCCAAGGCCGGAGGGGAAGGAGAGTTTGGCCAGACTGTGCCTATATATGAGGGTGCTTCAGAAGTTGGTGAATAAAATTCACTATCTTTGTTTCATTTTTCCACAAACTTTTGGAAGACCCCACCACCACCACCACTTCCTCCTTTATTGGAAAGAGGCCCAACTCCTGTGGAAATTCATTGGAGATTTCATCATGGAGATGATTGGATTTTACAAGAGATCATGGGGGTGGGGGAGGGGGAATGACTACATACAACTGGCAATCCAGGCAAACATCGTCCAATCTATTGGTACGCAAGCTTAGCCATCACCCATGGGGTAGTAAATCTCCTCTGTTCTTTGAGGACATGAGGAGGCCTTGGGTACCCAGCACCATCCCGGGCACGCTGTAGGTTTGACCATCACGATGAGATGAATCCTTTGCCTCAAGTCCACACTTGCAATGTCAAAGTCGAGGACTTGCACCCAAGCAGGAGCAGGGATGGATGATGATTGAAAGAATTCATTTTGTCCTGAGAGTGTGCAAAATAGCAAAAAGAAATCAGAGTTTAAAAGATGGTTGTTGTTGTTATGTGTGGTCAATTCAATTATGACTCATAATGATCCCGTATAAGGTTTCTGAGACTTTAAATCTTTATCCAAACAGAAAGTCTCCCTCATTTTTCTCCCACAGAACAGTTGGTGGGCTCAAACTGCCAACCTTGTGTTTCGTAGTCCCGTATTTATCCTACAGAGCTACCGTGCTCCCTTAAAAGATGATAGTTTTCCAATGGTAGATTTCAAAATAATGCTTGTCCTTAGTTATCTGGGAGCCTTTATTACATGAATTATCGAATTTTGTTAACCTTTCCTGCTATTTTGCATCTAGTATCACTGTAGGATAAGCACTTGACCTCAAGGTCCATTTGAACCATAAGGCCAATGTTTCAAACTCACCAGATGCTGTAAACGCAGAACCTTGAACTATTCTGAGTGCTTCTTACCCTTGTTCTACAGCCGTGACAACTTGATTTGATGAAATCCTCCTTTTGTCCCTTGGCACCAAAAAATAATACACCCTTTTGTTCAGTCATCGCATGTTGCCTGAAAAACCTTCCCGAGTATGTGCAATCAGTGGGCTGGGAGTGTGGACGACAAAGACATCAACCAATGAAGTCACTGTCCTCAAAGAGTGGTGGTGGTGATGTGCCGTGGAGTTGGTTCTGACTCATAACGACCCTGCATAGGGTTTCCAAGTCTGTGAATCTTTACCGGAACAGAAAGCCTCATCTTCCTCCTGTGGTACAGCTGGTTGTTTCAAACTGCTGACCTTGTGATTATCAGGCTGATTTGTAACCCCCACGCTACCAGACCTGCCTTCTAAAAGGAGTGGGTGCATGATATGGTTGGGTTTATACCCAAAAAGGAGCACTCAAAGGAGGTGGTACAGAAAGATGGCTTAGGGATGCCCCTCGGTGGAAAGTATTCAAAACCATTCAAGGCAGAGGGAACAGTGTGAGGCTGGTGCACCTGGAAGGGTCTGGTGAAACTGAGAGAGGAAGTTCACCCTGTTGTGTTGGCTGTGTGTGTAGAAGTGTGGGTGTGGGTATGCGATGGCACAAGGAGGGAGATGAATGTGAGGCTGGAGGGGGTCATGGTAGCACTTGTGTATCATTAAGTCAGCTCCGACTCAGAGCGACCCTGTATAGGGTTTCTGAGGCTGTAACTCTTTACGGGAGCAGAATGTCTGTCTCATCTTTCTCTCTGGGATCAAGGGGTGGATTCCAACTGCTGACCTTGCGGTTAGCAGTTCAATTTGTAACCCACTATGCTCCCAGGGCTCCTTTGAGACTGGAGAGATGATGACTAATACTGAATGTCATGCCTCAGTAGTTTGTCATCCAGGAGACAAGAGGAAAGCAGCTGACATGTTTCCATCATAGAAATGAAATGATTCGGTTTGGTTCCAGTACTATTATCCTGGTGTGAAGATAGAATTGTTATTGCTGTTGTTGTTGGGTGCTGTTGAGTTGATTTCATCTCCTAGCAACCCTACTTGAGAACTAGAACCAGAGAACCTAGAACCAGAGAACCTAGAACCAGAGAACTAGAACTAGAAAACTAGAACTAGAGAACCTAGAACTAGAAAACTAGAACTAGAGAAATTAGAACTAGAGAAACTAGAAATAGAGAACCAGGAACTCGAGAACCTAGAACCAGAGAACCTAGAACTAGAGAAACTAGAACTCGAGAACCTAGAATTCAAGAACCTAGAACTACGCCACGGGAGTTTTCAGGGAGTTTTCATCTTTACGGGGACAGATTGCCTGGCCTTTCTCCCACAGAACTGCTGAGTGGGTTCCAACCACCAACCTTTGTTAAGCAGTCAAGCATTAAACTGTTATGCCTTCAGGACTCCTTGAACACAGAATTAAACAAACAAACAAACAAACCCACTACCATCAAGTTGATCTGACTTTCAGTTCTTATGAATCAGGTTGCTAACCTCAAGGACAGCAGTTCGAAACTACTAGCTGTTCCGTGGGAGAAAGATGAGGCTTTCTGCTCCCGTAAAGATTTACAGCCTCGGAAACCATATACAGGGTCACTACGAGTTGGAACCGACTTCACGGCGCACACCCTCCATCACCAGAACAGAGTAGAACTGCTCCATAGGGTTTCTCAAACTATAAATCTTAATAGAGCCAGGGAGTCTCTTCTTTTTCCTGGGAAGCAGATGGTACGTTTGAACCACCAACCTTGAGGTTAACAGCCAAATGCTTAACTCACTGCCCCAGCAGGACTCCCTAAAGTCATAATTTGTCGCTGTTGTTAAGTGCCTACATAGCGACCCTATATAGGGTTTCTAAGAAGCAACTGCCTTGTGGCTTGCAGTCCAGTGCTGATCCTACAGTGCCATACCAAAAGTCCAAAGACAGAATTGGTGGTGGTAGTGGTGGTGTGCCATTGAATCGGTTCAGATTCATAACAACTCAGCATAGGCTTTCCATGGTTGTAAATCTTTGTTGTTGTTGTTGTTTTCCATGGAGTCGGTTCCAACTTATAGTGACCCTGTACAGGGTTTCCAAGACTGTAAATCTTTATGGGAGCAGAAAGACTCATCTTTTTCCTGCAGAACAGCTGGTAGTTTCGAACTGCTGACCCTGAGGTTAGCAGCCCAATTCGTAACCACTATGCTACCAGAGCTCCTTTACAGGAGCAGAAAATCTCGTCTTTCTCCCATGGAACGGCTGGTAGTTTCAAACTGCTGACCTTGAGGTTCACAGCCTGATTCATAACCACTGCACTACCAGAGCTTATAGGGATGGTATTCCAGAGACCAAGAGACCAATGAGAGGGGCTTCTCAGAGCCTGGGCAGGAGACAAGATGGAGAGATGCTCTGGAGAAACAGTAGAACTAAGGATCTGGCGCCATCTTGGATTTGGGAGACAGAGGAGGAAAAGAGAACCTTGAAGCAACTCTTGGATGGTGGCATCCACTTCCTGGAGAAGAGTTCTGTTTTTATTTTTCTAATTAAGTGTAGAGACCAAATCCCACGGCCATTGAGTCAATGCCGACTCATAAAAACCCTCTAGGGTTTCCAAGTCTGTAAATCTTCAAAGCAGCAGCCAGCCTCATGCGCAGAGAATATTTGTTGGTGGTGGTTATGTGCCGTGGAGTCGGTTCTGATTCATAACCACCCTGTACAGGGCTTCCGAGGCTGTAAATCTTTACGGGAGCAGAAAGCCTCATCTTTCTCCCACAGAACAGCTGGTAGTTTCTAACTGCTGACCGTGTGGTTCGCAAAGTTAAATAAATTTGCTCCCGTAAATAATGATTTGCAATTTCTGTTTTACACTAGCTCACAACATGCCCCTGCCCTTGAAAATGATGTGGTGTTGATTACATGCCGGAAAGAGCCCTCATTAAAGCTCTCCTGCAGACACTTAGCCTCCTCCCCCTCCCCAACATACTTTCTTAGCTCCTTCGATGCGTCCCTCCCACAAGACACCCATCAGGGTTCAGACTCAGGGCAAGAGCTGAGCAGTTCTGGGCTCTGATGCAAGTATGGGTTCTATAAAAAGACATTAAAAAGACAAGAAGCAATTGTTGCCATTTTGCCTTTAATGGAAAAGTGGCCAGCAGTTTGAGTATATATATAAAAAAAAAAATCTCCATCTAACTTCTAGACAACGTTTAGAAATATCGACACAGACACATTTTAAAAACAATAACATCTTTAGAAAAATAAACTCTGGGTGTGTGGTTAAAAGGGGGAGCCCCAGTCTGTCTAGCTGCACAGGTGCATTCTGAAGACGTGTCCGGCTCATCCCAGTGCCGAGGAGGCAGAAGGGGACTTGACTTTGGACGAGAGCGCCTGCTTGAAGCGCCTCTTCAAGTCCTGCATATTGGGCGAGCGTGGACGGGGGATGATGGAGGAGCGTCTCCTCTCCCCACCCACATTGTGCAGCTTGTTCACTTCTCGGCAGAGATGCTGAAAGGCATCACAGACATCATCGTAGTTCTCGCTGGTGGAGATTTCCAGGAATGGGCTGCCCAGCTCGCTGGCGAGCTGAATGCCATCATGTGTCTGCACTTGGCGAGCATGCAGCAGATCTCCCTTGTTGCCCACGATGATGACGGGGGCCTTGGGGTCAGGGTGGACCTTCCGGATGTGCTGGTACAGGGGCCGGATGGACTGGTAGCTGTCGGAGTCTGTGATGGAGTAGACCAGCAAGAAACCCTCTGCCCATTGCACGCATCTGGAGAGAGAGTCCACCACCTGAATGACACTGTCTTGTAGCTGAAAGAGAGCCAAAGGAAGCCAGTTCGAGGTCACCCTCCATGGGAGACAACTCAAAAATAACATCAAAAGTAACCCTTGGGGAAAACGTTCCAAAAAAAAAACAATCACTTAAATACAGCTTTCAGCTTCTGCCTGGCTTCAGTAGAAGGAGGCATTTGATCTGGAGAGCAAATTCTCGGACACATGACTGGCCTAGATGATTTTTTTCAGCCTATTATTTTCAAACCCCTTTCTTGGCAGGCAGTCCGCTGTGAACTGTGGCCCACTGAAGCTTGCGTTCCATCAGAACTTCCAAACTAGAAGGGCTCGGTTTTTAGGGAAACAACTCATGTAATAAACAAAACTTGGAAAAGAAGCCAAGATAAATATCTATTCCCCGACCCATTAAGATATTTTTAGCATGCACTTCTTGAGAACAAATTCCTGCCTTCTGTTCTTCTTCAAAACCTTTCTTCCCTAGAAGGGACAGCAATTAGTGACTTGTTCATCAAGTAGCATTCTTGAATGCTGGCCCAGGGATTGTGGGGTTTCAAGGAGGGCTGCAGGGAACAGCCAGTCACAGAGCAGTTCAGAAGTGTTTGCTTGGGGAGCACCCCTTCACCAGAGCCCCCACCCACAATACCCCTGTCATTTCTAATGTCTCAGGGGTGACCAGCTCATAAAGAGGTGGTGAGATGCAGGATGAACAGTAATGAATCCCTGAACAGGGGAGCTGTCTCTAACCTCCCTTTTTGGAGGGTCTCAAGGAGCTCTGGCAGTGTAGTGGTTACGAATCGGGCTGTGAACCGCTAGGTCAGCAGTTCGAAACTACCAGCTGTTCCATGTGAGAAAGATGGGGCTTTCTGCTCCTGTAAAGATTTACAGCCTTGGAAACCCTGTACAGGGTCACTATGAGTTAGAACCGACTCCATGGCATATAACCACCACCATCCAGGACCCCAGATCCCTGCCCCCTGCTCCCCAGTGCACAACCCTATTCCTGCACATGTTCAGACATTTTGCTCATGGGCTCAGCCAGCTTTGAATGGTCAGCTGTTTGCTGGTGAATCACCCACTCTTACCCAGTTCTTACCTGAATGTATCCCGGGGTGTCCTGGATCTGCAGGGACAGCTGATCTCCTTCCACACAGACAAGCCGGGAATACAGCTTACCTGGAGAATACAGGAGCTTTGAAATTAGTGCACTCAAAGGTGTGGCACTGTAGAATAAGCGCTGGACTGCTAGCCAAAGTCACTGGTTCAAACGCACCAACCATACAGGTCTCTGAGTCAGAATTGGCTCAAAGGCACTTTAACAACAATCTAGTCAAGGCAGTCCTGGTTGATACTCTAGGGTAAGCACTGGATTGCTAATCACAAAGCCAGAGGCTCAACTCCACCAGCTGCTCCTTAGAAACTCTATACAGGGTTGCCAACAGTGGAAACCTACCCGACAGCACTTAACAGTAATAATCAGGGGGTCCTGGCTTGGCACTGTAGGATAAACGCTGGACTGCTAACAGCAAGATCAGCAGTTCAAACCCACCAGCTACTCCACTGGGAAATGTGGCAATCTAATTCCATCTTGGATTCCTGGTGTGGCACTGCAGGGTAATGTGCTAGACTGCAAGGTCAGTTCAAACCCACCAGCCCCTCCTCGGAATGCCTATACAGAGTTGCTATGGGACGGAATGGACTCAATGGCACTTAACAATTCCACCTTGGAAATCCTATACAGCAGATGTCATAGGTCACTATGAGTCATTCAACTGGATGGCAATGCCTGGGCTTTCATTTAATGGCGGGGGTGGGGGTGCTGGTGGTGCAGTGATTAAGCGTTCAACTGAAAGGTTGACAGTGTGAATCCACCAGGCGACCCGCGGGCATGTCGTCTTCTATAAAGATGACAATCTTGGAACCCTTATGGGCAGTTCTAAGCTGTCCTTCATGGTGTCGATGACTGCAGTGCGGGGAGTAAATCAGGTGGGAAAACAAACAACGTGCACACCTGAAAAGCTGGGAGAATGAGCGATTCTAACCTGTATTTGGTTCATAATCGCCAATGAATCTCTTGGTCAGGAAACGCACAATCATTGCTGAAAAGGACAGAGGAAAATCAGCTTCAGCCCGGATGGACGGTCTCAGAGGGATGGGAGAGAGAGCGTCCCTGCAAACCGCAAGGCGCGCCGGTCCGGTCCCGGTGGTACGGTGGGAACGGAGCCACACCCTCACCATCCCGGCTCTCAGACAGGTGCGCTCCCCACCCCCAACGCCCCCACCCCCAGACCCCGGGAAAGAGAGCCTCCAAGGAGAACCAGGGGTCGGGAGTGATGGGGGACCTAAGGGGCGCGCAACCCTCCCCTGGTCCCCCGGAGCCGCTGTGCTTGGGGAGTCGGCCACGGCCCCGCGCACTCACCACTCTTGCCTACGCGGCCGGAGCCCAAAACGGCCAGTTTGATGTCCTTGGGCGGGAGGCAGTCCGAGGCGGCCTCCGGGATGGGCGCGAGCAGAAAGTGTCCGGACATGCTGGGTAGCCGCATGGAGCGCGGCCGGCGGAGCGCAGACCCACCCGGGGCTGGAGAGCAGCCGACTGCGGCCTCACCCGCCCCCCAGCTCCGACTGGGGATCAGCGCGCCGGGACCCGGTAGGTGGAGAAGGCGGGCGGCTGGCGGAGCGCGCGGGCCAGGGCTTTTAAAGAGCTGGGAACGCGGGCGAGCAGCCCCGCCCCGTCCTGCCCCTTCCCGGAGCCGGCGGGAGGGGGCGCGCAGGGGGAGACCCCGGAGACTGTCGCCGCGGGCGTGAGCAAGGCTTGCGGCTTGACGCGCTCTGCCGTCTGGCTGAGGCGCACACCAGCCGTTGGGTCGAGGGCTCTCAGGGACCCACGGACTGCAGGGGCGGCCCCGCAGCGGGGACCTGCGTATCTCCCGCGCCACCGGAACCTTGGAGGCACAGTCACCGTCTAGAGAGCGCACCGTCGTCCGGTCATCAAGGCCTTCATACATAGTGACATTGCCCAGCCCCGCTGGCCCCTAACTCCGCAGGGGAGAGCCTGGGTCACTAAAAGCGCAAACCATAGAACGGTAGATGACCCAAACCAAACCGAATCTACTGCCATTCAGTGGATTCTGAGTCCTATAGGGTTTCCGAGGCCTCATCTTTCTCAAACTGCGAGGCTGGTGGGTTCAAACCGCCGACCTATTGAGTGACAGGTCCACGCTTAACCCGATGCGCCACCAGGGATATTTCAGAAGATTCTAGAAAGAGGAAACAGTGCAATCAGTTGGTTTTTTTGTTTGTTTGTTGTTGCAACAATTGGAAGGCTAGAGTCCTGCCGAATGTTTCTGTTGCAAAAACAAGTGAGGAATGATATTGGGGGATGAAAAGACGCGGAGTTAACACGTATCCTTGCTCCAGATACATGTGTGAAGGCCCCTGGGGGCAGCTGTGTCCAGCTGAACAAAAACACCCCCTCACACACACACACACCCCATCCCATGCTGAATAGGCTCCTGGGTGCAGTCAGTGAGCTCCCGGCGCTCTGGGTGAATTCCCTCTGTTGGTACTGCCTGGTGCATTTCACTCACGTTTCGATTCCTTTATTCAAGTATTTGCATCTAAGTTGGGAAGAGTTGAGGAGGAGTAAGGCAGAGGAGGACACAAGGGACAGCTATGTTCTGATCCTTGGGTTGTCCCCTTGGGATTTCATCCTTACACTGTATAGGGCCTTCATCTGTCCAAGTGCCTGTTATACAACTCATCCTTACCTCTTTCTCTCCTTCTGACTTGTTCCGGTTAACTTTGGCTGCAAGACAAGAATCACTTATCATTGCTCACAAGTCTGTAGGTCAGTGGGGGAAGCTGTCCTCCTCTAGGCCAGGCTGGGCTCTAGTCTGCTGAACACTGGCTGGTCTGGGATGTCCTCACTCTCTGGCCTCTCTCTCATGGTCTGGTAGCACGCAGTAGCTGAGTCATGGTCTCCCATCCTCTGGCCAAGGCTGGTTACAGCAGCTGAGTAGGGTTCAAAGAGAGTGATGGCCGTGGACAAGTTCTCTTGAGACCTAGCTCAGAAGTGGAACCTCATCACTTCTGAAGCATTTTCTTAGCCAAAGCAAGTCACAAGGCCAGCTCCAAACCAAGTGGTGGGGAATACTCAACATCATTGTGGAAGGAGCTGCAAAGACACCTTTGAAAGGACTCAGGTACAGAGAAGCATAGAAAATTGGATCTTTTTTTGCAGTTATTGTTATTGTCATTGTTAAGTGCCTTCGAGTCACTGTTAAGTTTCGACTGTTTAGGGTTTTCAAGGCTTTAAATCTTTGCCAGAGCAGAAAGCTGCATCTTTCTCCCACGGACATAGCGGTTCGCAGTCCAGTATTTTTCATAACTACTAAGCCTCCATCTGGAGTCCTGGTGTGGCACTGTGGGTTAATGCGCCAGACTGCAAAGCCATTTGAACAGCAAGGTTGGCAGTTCAAGCTCATCAGCTGCTCCTTGGAAACCCTATACAGGGTCTCTATGGGTCAGAACCGACTCAACAGCACTTCACAACAACAACAAGCTTCCATCTGCCCAGTTGCTCAAGCCAGTGGCCTGTGTGGTCACCCTAGACTTCAAACTCTCCACATCAGTGAAATTTCTAAATTTCTTGGCATCTCCATCGCTCCAAAGGGGCTGTAGTGGCCCAGTGGGTTGAGCACTGAGCTGCTAACTGAAATGTCAGTCATTTGAATCCAACAGATTGTTGTTGTTACTGTTGTTGTTGTAGTAGGCTCCCTGTCACAGCGGCGGCTCTGTCCACAACGGAATGAAATACTGCCTGGTCCTGCACGGTCCTCACAGCTGGGGCTGTGTTCAAACCCATTGTTGCAGCCACTTTGTCCATCTATCTGTAATTCTTCTAAGACAGACATGTTTGTTCTATGGTAGTCCATGGCATACTCAAGATTCTTCACCAACACCACAGTTCAAGGGCATTTGTTCTTCTTTGTTAATTGTCCGGTTTGGGCATGCATATGAGTGATTAAAAATACCAGGGCTTGGGAGAGGAGCACCTTAGTCCTCAAAGTGACATTTTTGTTCTTTTAACACTTTAAAGAGATTTGCGCAATGCAACATGTCCTTTGATTTCTTGACTGCTGCTTTTATGAGCATTGATTGTGAATCCAAGTAAAATGAAATCCTTGTCAATTTCAATCTTTCCTCCATCTATCATGATGTTATTTATTGGCCCAGTTGTGAGCAGTTTTGTTCTGTTTACATTGAGCTGGAATCCATATTGAAACCTGCAGTCTTTGATCTTCATCTGTAAGTGCTTCAAGGCTTCTTCACACCCAGTAAATAAGGTTGTGTCATCTGCACAGTAAAGATTCTTCCTCCAATTCTGATGCTTCGTTCTCCATATAATCTGGGTTCTTAGATTATTTGCTCAGCAGACAGATTGAGTAAGTACGGCGAAAGAATACAACTTTGATGCACACCTTTCCTGATTTAAAGACATTCAATATTCCCTTGTTCTGTTTGAAATACTGCCTTTTGGTCCATGTATAGGTTCCACATAAGTACAATCAAATGTTCTGTAATTCCTACTCATTCCAGTGTTATTCATAGTTTGTTAAGATCCACAAAGTTGAATTCTTTTGTATAGTCAATAAAACACAATAAAACACAAGAGATCCATCTGACGTCAGCAGTGAGACCCTCTGATCTCTTCTGAATTTGTCTTGAATTTCTGGCACCTGCCTGTCCATGTTCTACTGCGAACATTTTAAGATTGTCTTCAGCAAAATTTTATTTGCATGTGAAAGTAATGATATCATTTGATAACTTCTGCAATCTGTAGGCCACCTTTCTTTGGGATGCGCACAAATTCGGATCTCCTCCAGGCCATTGACCAGATTTTTTTGTTTGTTGTTAGGTGCCATCGAGTCAGCACTGACTCATCGTGACCCTATCCACAACAGAACGAAACACTGCCCGATCCTGGGACAACCTCACAATCATTGCTACACTTGAGCCCATTGATGCTGCCACTATGCCAATCCATCTTGCTGAGGGTCTTTCTCATTCTCTCTTTACCAAATATGATATGCTTCTCTAGGGATCGGTTCCTCCTGATAATATGTCCAAAGTATAAGGGACAAAGTTTGGCCATCCTGGCTTCCAAGGAGCTCTCTGGCTATACTTCTTCCAGCACAGATCTATTTGTTCTTCTGGCAATCTATGGTACTTTCAATATTCTCCTCCAACACCATAACTCAAATGCATCAATTCTTATACGGTCTTCTTTATTCACTGTCCAACTTTTGCATGCATATGAGGTTATTGAAAATACCATGGCTTGTGTCAGGCATGCCTTTGACATCTTTGCTCTTCAACACTTTAAAGAGGTCTTGTGCAGCAGATTTGCCCAATGCAATACATTTAAGGAGCTCTGGTAGTATAGTGGTTATGAATCGGACTGCGAACCTCAAGGTCAGCATTTTGAAACTACCAGCTGCTCCATGGGAGAAAGATGAGGCTTTCTGCTCCCATAAAGATTTACAGCCTTAGAAACCCTGTACAGGATGGCTGTGAGTCAGAACCGACTCTATGGCACATAACCACCACCACCACCAATACATCGTTTGATTTCTTGACTGCTGCTTTCATGAATGTTGATTGTGGATCCGAGCAAAATGATGTCTTAGACAATTTCAATCTTTTCTCCATTTATCATGATGTTGTTTATAAGTCTAATGGTGAGAATCTTTGTTTTCTTTACATTGAGGTGCAACCCATACCAAAGGCTGTGGTCTTTGATCTTCATCAGTAAGTTTTTTAAGTCTTCCTGGCTTTCAGCAAGCAATGAGTATCATCTGCACATCGCAGGTTGTTAATAACCAAGTAGCAGTTCTCCAAATTTCTTGGCATAGACAAATGAGCGTACTTCCATCACTGCGCCCATGTGATGAAACATCTCTATTAATTCCTGGAGTCTTGTTTTGGTCAATGCCTTCAATGCAGCTTGACCTTCTTCCTTCAATACCACTGGCTCTTGATCATATACTATGACTTGAAACTGTTGAATGTTGACAAAATGGTTGGATTCCTTTTGTACAGTGACTGTGTGTCCTTCCAGTTTCTTCGGATGCTTTCTGCATCATCCAATATTTTGTCCATCAGTATTGCAAGTCAAGGTTTGAATTTTTTCTTCAATGCTTTTAGCTTGAGATATTCTGGGCACTTTCTTCCCTTTTGGCTTTCTAACTCCAGGTCTTTGCACATTTCATTATAATACTTTGTTTTCTCTAGCTACCCTTTGACATTTTCTGTTCAGTTCTTTTACTTCATCATTTCTTCCATGCACTTTAGATTGTGAAACTCAAGAGCAAGTTTCATAATCTCTTCTAACATCCATTTTGGCCTTTTCTCTTTTTCCTGACTTTTTAATGACCATTTGTGTGTGTCTTTTTTCATGTATGATGTTCTTGATGTCATACCACAGTTCCTCTGGTCTTTGCTCATTAGTGTCTAATGTATCGAATCTGTTCTTGAGATAGTC